AGAATCTTCCTTCTCCTCTGCTCCAGAGGGTGCTCGAGTGCCCACAGGGAGCCCCTTCCTCGCTCCTGTGGAACTGGTGAGGGTTGGGGTGACGCAGGGCCGTGATGTCACAAAGGGGTTAAGCTCTGGTGTGATGCAGGGCCGTGATGTCACACAGCTGTCCTGGCCACAGCACTGTGACATCACCACGCCAGCCCTATATAAACCGGGCCAGCCCCCGCAGCTGCCAGTGCAGTCGCCATGGGACGTGCCGTAGCCATGGGTGACGGTGGTGTCCTGATGGCTGCCCTTGTCCTGCTGCTGGCCGCTGTGGCTGTCTGCTGGGCCGGTGGCCACTGGCAACCACGGAGGCGGCAGACGAGGAAGCGCCCCAGGGTTAGGCCCAGAGGCCCATGGAGGAACCGAGCAGCCCCTGCGGCTCCCAGGTTCTCCAGGCCTCGGGCCACCCCTCGCCGGCGGCCAGGTGCTCCCGCAAGCCCTCTGGAGAGCTCCTGCAGCTGCGGTCCCTGCATGGCAGTGGCCCAAGAGCTGCAGGAAGTGATGATCCGGCACTGGGCACACAATGGGACATCTGTGCCACTCTTCTTTGGGATGTGGCTGGCGTTGTGGAAAGAACTGGAGAAGCTGATGAGGTGAGGCCACCTGCCCTGCTGTGGCTCGCCCAGCTTCTCCAGAAGCCGCCATCCCTTCAGGAGGCTGCTCCCAGCAAGATTGGCCATCAGTGGGAGAGCCTCAAGCCTTGCAAGGATGGCACAGCAGAGAAGACCCGCCATCCGTGCAAGAAGCTCAGGCGGTCAGAGAACGTCCATGGTGCCAGGAGCCTCCGCTATCTCTGACAGCCTCCATCCCTAAGAGAGGCCGTATGGCACTGCACGGCTTGCGGCGTCCTGCACCGGGACATCAAGCCAGAGAACCTCCTCGTCAACCCAGAGACTGGCGACCTGAAGCTGATGGACTTCGGTTGTGGCACCTGCCTCCAGGAGCGGGCCTTCACACAGTTTGCCGGTGAGCCCAGAGCGCGGGCCCTGCTCCCAGTGCCAGGCACTGCACGGCCCCATTCCCTCCTGGGCCGCGGGGTGCAGCATTCAGCCGGCTGCCGGCTGCCCTGTGGCACGGGGCAGGTGCTGTGCCCCAGGAGCCGGCTGCCGGCCCTGCCGACAGAAAGGGGCTGCAAAAGCCGGGCCCTGGGTCCTCGGCTTGGCAGGCCCACAAGGCCTTGGGCTGCTCCGCTGGCGTTCTCAGCCTTGCAGAATGGTTCCTTGGCTTTGGCCCATTGTCAGGGGGAGGCAGGCACGCCTTGGGGGGAAGTTGTGGCCACGGCTGCAGTCCCTGCCTCTGGCAGGAGGCTGGCACCAGGCTCTGGAAGGCAGCAGCCTGCGCCTGAGCAGCGCCGCCCGTCTCCCCTAGGAACACGCACGTACTGCCCGCCCGAGTGGATCGGCCTGCGCTGCTACCACGGCGATGGGGCGACCATCTGGTCCCTGGGCGTGCTGCTGTTGGAGATGGTGTGCGGGTTCCTGCCCTTCGAGAACGAGCGTGACACCGTGTTGGGGCAGCTCTTCTTCCCGCAGGAGGTCTCTCCAGGTTGGTACGCGGCCTGAAGAAGGCAGGCTTTGGCAGGTGGCACCGCGCAGCCCAGCCCGGCCCTCCCGCAGCTGCGCGGGACGTCCATGTGCCCTCAAGGGCCGGCTGCAGCAGGTGGCCCGTGGCAGGCTGGGTGTGGCACGCTTGGCTGAAGGAGGGGACGCTTGTCCTGCCGTGCCGCTCTCCCGCCAAGGGCAGCTCCCAGCACACGCAGCGTGGCCCGGCTTCTGCAGGCGCCGGGAGCAGCTGGGCAGGAGCCTTCTGCAAGTGAGCGCCGCTTTCTGCCTTCTCTCCCCAGAGTGCCAACATCTGATCCGCTGCTGTTTGTCCAAGCACCCCATGGACCGGCCGGTGCTGGAGCAGATCTTCTACCACCCTTGGGTGTTGGGTGGCCATTTCTGATGCCTTGGCGCAGCCTCTGCAGCACCCAGTTCCCGTGTCCCACGCAGGACTGAGGGCCCAGGAAATAAAACAACCCAAAACCCACTGCGGGCTGGCGAGTCTGGTCCTTGTTAGCAACTTCAGCTAAGGGAACCTCTGGGCAAAAGGGGTAATCAGAGCGTTCCCTTCAGCCTTTGTCAAGCTTTTGGTGCCTTTCCTCCAGGTTGTCCCTCAAAATCAGAGGGGGGTGGAGCCTGCACCAGTCCCCCCAAATCGGTGGGAGACAGAGACTACTCCCAGGCCCCTCAAAACTGGAGGAGGATGGAGACTATCCCCGGGCCCCCCAAACTGAAGGGAGATAAATACCTGGCAACCCAAAATAAGAGATGGATGTAGCCCAGAGCATCCCCCAAGTCAGAGGGGGAAGGGGAGACTGCCAGCCCCACCAAAGAGGAGGGGAATTGTGCCTGTGCCAGCCCCACAAATTGCAAGGGGACAGAGAACACCCCTGGCCTGGCAAAGGGCAAAGAGCGGCCGGGGGCTGCTGGGATGGTGACAACACTGGCACCCCCCAAATCAGAGAGGGACAAAGAGCCCGCACAGGCTTCCCAGAAGCAGAAAGGGGGCAGCAAATATCCCCTGTCCCCCTAAGTCGGAGGGGCACAGACACAAAAGGCCCCACAAAAAGAGCATGAGGAACCAAGAGCACTGCTGGCCCCACAAGGGTAAGGAGGATGGAGAAACTCCCCATCTGTCTTTGTTTTGGAAGACAGGTGTCTGCTAGGGAGGGCAGGGGCCTCCCCTGGAATGAAAATGTAGACCCCCTCCCTCTGAATTATTATAATTCTGAAATCAAGGGGCTTTCAGGAAGAGATCTGAGGATAGGAATAACAGTTCTTTATTAGTATTTATAACCAGGCAAACAAACAACAATAACTACAGCATTAACAAGAAAACAGAACCAGGGGGCCCATGACAGCTTTCTCGGCTGAGACGGGATGGAGGAGAGGCTTTGTTTCACAAACCCCCTCGGGCGGGCAGTCCCGGTGCTCCTGCAGGGCTCTGAGGAACACTCAGCTGGAACAGCAGGGATGAGCTGAGATCCTGGGCCGGTGGCTGAGGTGGATCAGCAGCTCCACGGCGGTGCCTGGCACTGCCACACGTCCCGGCAGGACAGGGGGTGCGAGGCCACCAACAAAGAGGGGAGAAGGAGAAGCAGCAGCTCCGTCTGGGTGATGGCGAAATTCCCTTCTCCCCACCGCAGCAGCTCTGCACCCAACGTGTCCTTCTCTGAAGCTGAAGAAAGCCCCCCAAACTGTCCCCATCCTCCTTTTTCCTGCCCCCTTCCCCCCCTGGGCCCGGCCAAACTCTTTGTCTTTTTTCAAGCACCCACCAAGTACCCACAGTTAGGTTTTCCCCACAACATGTAAAAATTGGCAAGCCAGAACTAAAAAAAAAAAGGGACACTAACCCCAACAGTGTGTCTTAATCCCTCTTAGAGTAAATATTATCAATTAAATGCAACTTCCTGTTTAATTGCAGAAGTGGAAAAAATGTTCCAGAATTCTAAAACTACTTTGAAAACTATGTTATTAATATGGAAAAAGGGAAGAAACATTTGGGGATTACTTCCTACTAAAATAATTCTAAATGTTTCAAAAAATTTCTAATTTTTAAAAATAAAAAATAAAGATAACAAGGTGGGTTCCCCAAGCCCGGCTGCTGCCTGCCCAGCCAAGGCTGTGGCCAGCCAAGCAGCTGTGCCAGTGCTGGTGGTACCAGCCAGACCCCAGAGCAGAAGCCCAAAGGTGTTGCTCAAGCTCTGCCTTGGCAGGAGGGTCCTGCCTTCAGTCCTGTCCAGACACCAGGGCCAGCACTTTCAGGGACAGAGGGTCCTGTTCTGGGTGGTGGCCGCACAGCAATAAGCTGATAACGCAGCTTTGGCAAGGAAAACAGACACTGGCTTGGAGATGCAGGAAGAGAGGTGCAGTTCTCCCTGACTGAGTGTAGTGATTTACATTCACACTGTTATAAATGCATATCATATTATTGGCTTTTTGCAAATATTATAAAGAATGTTATATGTATAAGATTAGAAAATCTAGCTGTATTAATATGGTTTCCTTTATTTCTGTTATTGATGAAACATTGAAATAGTGGTATAATACATATATGTTAAGCTTTGGCATAGTATTAAAACAAAAACTACTTTAGTTTGTATAACCCAAAGACTGCAAAAGATAGCTGGAGACTCCCCCTACATTCAGAAACTATCTTATCCAGATGAAGACAGCAGTGACCAGAACTCTGGGGGAGGAATTTATTGCATTTCTGTTATCAGGAAATGTAAATCTCATTGGCGCCAAGAAGATTGATCTATTGGGAAGGGGGCAAGAGAAAACTAAACAGAAGAACACCAAAGATCCTAAGAAGAATGTATGAATATGCATGAGAATTTATGGATATGTAGTAGGATTCTGTTTTTAAGGGACAATCCTTTGTCAGTAAGGTGTGCTCTCTTGGCTGAATGCAGAGACACCTGGCTGTATCTCTGTACTTTACTTTATTTTTAGCTCCTAGTTATCTTTTCATTAAACCTTTAAATTCTATAAGAAAAATATGTGAACCTCATTTTTCACAACACTGAGCTGTTTGGCCGGACATCTGAAGGTGCAGAGGCGCTCCTGTAGAGAAAGAAAGTGGCTGAGGCCCCCAGCTGCCGCTGGCACACAGGGACCCTCCTGCACAGCAGGGCCCAGAGCTGCCAAGGCTCCCCAGCACGGCTGGAGCTGCTGGCACAGCTTGGCCCAGCTGGACAGCTGCCCCTCAAGGCCCTGGAGAGCAGGGGATGGCTCTGGGCAGGGTCCCTGGCCAGGAGCGGGCCCCAGAGCACCTCTGCCTGTCAAGGGCAATCTCGTCCCCGCTCTTTCTCCTGCCCACCTTGCTTTGCCTCTGCCCGCTGCTCCTGGGGCTGCTCTTGGCCAGGCAGCCTCAGTGGCAGCCAGCACTGGCTGCAGCCCCAGCGGGCTCCCCAGGACAAGGCCCAGCAATTAAGAGGCCAATGAAAGGCCTGGGCAGCAGCAGAACTCTCAGCAGAGTTATTTGGGCAACCAAGGACTATCCACAGGTCTACAGCAGCTTCACTGGGAATATTTCTATTCTACAATAACTTTCAAAAGAAGCTGTTTGAGGGAAAGATGAACGAAACACTCACTGTTTTCTCTTGCAGGCATACCAGATTCCAACACCGCATAAAACGAAGAAATGCACCAAACAAAGCAGGCCTGCCATTAATTCTAGCCAACAGCGTGTTCCCTGACAGAAACCTCTTCTGATGCCCTTCTGGGAATTGGGAACACGTGTTGTGCCGGCTGCATCTGTGGGAGCAATGGGCAGCGTGAGGCCTGTGCTGTGCTCCACTGCTGAGCTGGCAGCACGGTGGGTATGTCCAGGATATTCCCTGTTTCCCCCAGAGCTGGGGCCTGCAGGCACCTTGCCAGCCCTTGGCACAGGCTGTGCCACCCAATAAAACCCAGAAAGCTGAGAGGAGAACCCAGGGACAGCGCAGCTGCTTGGGCAGTGGGTCCTTCCAGGGACACGGGCCAAACCCATCCCTGAGCAGCCACTGCCACCCCTGACCCTCCCTGCTCTGTGACAGCTCCCCCAGCCCAAGGGGACAGAGCCAGGCCCTGTCAGGGGCCAGTGCAGCCCCTGCCCAGTTGGGAGCCAGGGCTGGCTGTGGCCCTGGGATCGTAGCAGGGCTCCCACTCGGGGCTGCTCCTGTGCCTTGGGCCTCTGGATGCTTAGGGCCGGCTCTGGGAGCAGCTGCAGTGGGATGGACACTGGTGCAGGAATCCCGATTCCCAGGGGCTGGGAATGAGCTCCAGAGGCCTGGAAGCTGCAGCACCTCCAGCTTTGGCTGCTGCCGGGCTGTGCAAGGAGAGGCCCTGTGGGAAGAGCTGCTGGCACACAGCCCCACCAAGGGCTGAGCCCAGCACAGCAATTACCTCCTGTGCCTGGGCCTGTGCCTGCAATTGCCTCCCTTCCTTCAGGAAATGCCGCCTTCCATAGAGCCTCTCTGTCCATCCCTTGAGAAAGGAAGAGGCACAGCTGGATCAGATGGAACCATCACATAGCAGGGAAGTGGCCTCTTCAGGAGGCAGTGCTTGTCAAAGACATGGAAGAGGATCAGGAAAAGGCCCAGGCTCTCTCTTGTCCAAACCACCACCTCTCCTGATCTGCTCAGAGACCAGGAAGTTGCAGAGGATCTCAAGGTGTGCATGGCCCATGGTGCAGTTTGGGCAGCCTGTCTGCTGATGCCAAATGCCTTCCTGCAGAGGCTGGGCAGAAACTGCATCCAGGCCAGGCTGGGAAACAGCCCTGCAGGGCTTGAAAGCAGCAGCAGGGCAGCGAGGCTGCCATGGATCCCTTCCCATGGTGCAGGGCATGGCATGTCCAGAGAAAGCCCCTGACTGCAGAGTCTCAGGAAAGGCTGAGGGAAATGTACCCACCACGCCCTGTGAGCAGTTCCTTCTCTATTTCTTTCAGGATATGGTGTGACTCAAGTGGTTCTTTCTGTCCTGTGGCTCTGTTCTTCCCTCTCGGAGGACCTTAACAAAAAATAGTTCCATTTGCCAGGAATGGATCCCAGAAAAGCAATGCTCAGCCTGTGGGTACGGCAGGGACACACCACTCACCCCTGCGATGGGAGCCGGGCTTGCGGGCAGTGATCAGCAAAGGATCTGGGAAAGTCCTCCCTGCAGACACACCTGTAACTCAACAGCCACAGAAGCTTCTGTCACCTGGTTCCTACCAGGTTGTCAATGATTATTCCTCGATGGGACACTGAGAACATACCTGCAGGAGGCTCCAAGGGCTTCAAAACTTTATGCAGCCAATCTAATGGAGAATCCTTCCTGGGAACCTCATCTGGAAGGGAGCACAGATCAGAACCATTCCATGGTGTGCTGGGATCGCCCTTCTGCCTTAGGGAACTGGGCACTGCCAGGGGGTTGGGTAAGACCATGGGAGCCAGATGTCAGTGGACATGGAGGAAGCTGTAGAGGGGCCTGAAATGCTCTGGGCTGGCTCCTGGTCACTCTCAACACTCTTCCCATGCCCTGTGCAACATCCCTGAAGGGTGGGCACTCCCCAGCAGCAGAGATGTACAGCTCAAGCCTCAGCAGGGCTCAGGCCCAGAGGCACAGCAATTACCTCCTGGGACTGTGCCTGGCATGGCCTCCCTTCCTGCAGCAGAGGCTGCCCATGAGCCACTGCTTCCTCCGGGAAACGCTGCCTTCAGCACAGCCTCTCCATCCACTTCTGCAGAAAGGGACAGCTGGATCAGATGGCAGCATTCCCCACTGGGGAGGTGGCATCTTCAGGAGGCAATGCTTCTCAAAGACTTGGTTAAGGACCAGGATATCATATCAACTTTTGGGATTGGCCAGGGCCCTCCTTTCTCCAAACAGCTGCCATTTCTGATCTACCCGGAGACCAGAGAATTCTACAAGATCTCAGGGTGTGCATGGCCCATGGTGCAGTTTGGGCTCCCTGTCAGCTGATACCAAATGCCTTCCTGCAGAGGCTGGGGAGAAGCTGCAGCCAGGCCAGGCTGGGAAACAGCCCTGCAGGGCTTGAAAGCAGCAGTGGGGCAGTGAGGCTGCCATGGATCCCTTCCTGCTGTGTTGGGCACTGCGTGTCCAGATGTGCAGAGAAAGCCCCCGGCTGCTGAGTCTCAGGAGAAGGCTGAGGGACATGGACCCACCTTGTCCTTCCTGCAGAATTTTCTTCAGCATTTGCCTCATGGGTTTGGATGGCTCATGGGGTTTCATAACTCCTGTAGCTTTGGTATTTCCTCTTGGAGGACCTTAGAGCAAAATAATTCCATTTCACAGGAATGGATCCCAGAATGCCAATGCTCAGCCTGTGGGGTCAGCAGGGACACACCACTCACCCCTGCGATGGGAGTCAGGCTTGTGTGCAGCAACCAACCCAGGAGCTGGGAAAGTCCTCCCTGCAGACACACCTGTAACTCAACAGCCACAGAAGCTTCTGTCATCTCTTCTGATCTGAACAGGCAGCACTGAGCCTCAGGAGTGGTGAGAGGATCACGCAGGGCGAGGGCACACATGTGCATGGCTCTGTCCTGGCACCTGCAGCGATGCTCTCCTGGCCAAGCCTTGGGCTCTGAGCTGGCAGCTCTCCCAGGGGGAAAGGCCTTCACCTACCCTCACCATCTTCCAGAGCCTCAGTCCTGGGTGTGGGTTGGGAAGCCAGATCACCTTCAGCAAGAGGCTTGGCTGAAAAAAGAGGTAGGACAGAACAGCTCTCGTGGCTCTGTAGGAGACCCTCAGGCTCCCTGGGGCTGGCAAAGGAGCCATGCAAGGCACAGCCCCGGGACACAGCCCTGGGCCCGGCCCCTTCCCTCTCTGCTCTTCTCCGTGGCTGCACAGAGCACATGGAAGGAGACACTGGCATTGCACACGGGAAGAAGATTGACAGCTAAATGCTCCTTCTTCCCACTGGTAGTGACCTGTGGGATCCCTCAGGGCTCTAGAAGGGAGCAGGGCGAGGTTTCCAGAACCCAACAAGCCTGAGATTATGTTAAGAGATATGGCAAATGCTCTTGCCACCTTGTCATTTTGTGTTCTGTCAGTAAAGGGAATAGAAGAACTTGCCTCCAGCATTCTCCAAGATATTCAAAGTATCATTCAGTAGCACTTCCAAATAAATGAGGTTGCGTTCCAAATCTAGAAGGGAGCACAGATCAGAACAGTTTCCATGATGTGCTGAGATCCCCTTCTATCTTAGGGAACGGGGCAGTGCAAGGGAGTCGCGCTAAGGCTGTGGGTGCCAGATGTCAGTGGACATGGCCACAGCTGCAGAGGGGCCTGGGGAGCTCTGGGCTGGCTCTGGTCACTCTCCACCCTCTTTGCAGGCCCTGTGCAACATCCCTGGAAGGGCAGTGGGACCAGCCCAGGGCCCCTGAGGCCTCTGTCCCTCCCACAGAGAAAACCCTCCCTAAAGCCCTGGGGAAAACCATCCCCAACACTTCCCAGGGAGAAGGGAGCACTGTCCCAGGAAAGGGAAGCCAGGGCCGCCGGCTCACCTGCTCGCCCTGCTCGCCATGGAGCAGCCTGGGCAGCCCTGTCAGGCAGGGCCACTGCCAGGAGGAGCAGGAGGAGGAGGCGCAGAGCAAAGGCCATGGTGCCTTGCCCACTGCCAGTCCTGCAGCTCTTGCTGCCACCACTGTCCTGACACCGCTGTCCCAATGTCAGCACCGCTGCTGCCGCCGCCGCTGCTGCCACAACAGTCGTGGTCAAGGACTGACTGCTCGGTCCTTGTGGTGCTGGGCAACCACGGGGCTCTGGGACCTCTGTGACCTCAGAGCCTGCTGTCACCTCAGCCTGCTGTCACCCCACAGGCTGCTGTGACCTCATGGCCTTAGATGTCTGCCCCAAGTGTACTCCCATCTGTACTAGAGGACTGCTCTGACTGTGAATCTTTGACTTCATCAAAGGGTCATTGCTAAACAAAACCTTGGTTTTGCCTGCTGACATTGCTGGACAGGCAGTGTCCCAGGAGATGCTCTTGATGGTTGCCTCTTTTCCTGGGCATGGCACTGGAGGAGGTCCAGGCCCAGGTGATGCCACTGAAGGAAATGTGCCCTCATCCCAGGGACACTCAACA